ATACGTCCCCTGTTCCTATAATGCATGCCAAGTACTTGTCAAGTACTTACAGAAATTGGCAGGTAAGCAAGTACCCATCCGCAAGTACATTCACTAGGATGGACAGACAACAAAAAGAATGTACAGTAAATCCATACAACAGAAATATATATATTTAACAAGAAATATGAAAAGTCAGAAGATTAATTTAATTTCTTTTACTTTCGTTTGACAGCCTTAGATCATAGTTGTTGAAGGACGTCAGAATATCAGTACGCAATGCATTTTCAAAAAGAGACTATTTTTTTCAAACTTGCTGGGTCTGGTGTATTCTCGTGTATTCTCACTGAGAATACACCAAGCCCAGCAGGCGTATTCTCAGTGAGAATACATGAGAATATACCAGAATACGCAAATATATAAATTTCTAAAAAATGTGCTCGGCTTGCTGGGTTTGGTGTATTCTCATTGACAATACACGACAATACACAAATGTTGCATAGTGGCTCACTTTCATGCTGCACCCACCAAATAGTGTCTTTTTGAGAATACACTGCGTACTGATATTCTGACATCTCTTTTTTTTTATATTAAATTTATTGTTCCACTAGGATTAACAATGAAAGAGTGCATGATTGTATAATTATCTAGAAAAATATTAATGACAAAAAAAAGAAAAGTAGTGGAAAATACATGTTCGAGAAAAAGGTTATTCCTTCATAATTACAGTACAGTTTATACAGGTCATATGGATTTTCTTCTCAGAGTTTATCAGAGATCAAAGAAAAGAACAGAAAAATAAAACAAAATAATGTTTAGAAACTATTTTAACAATTAACAAATTTACTTTTCTTTTTCATACAATTCTGACATCTCTGTAGTTGTTGGTTGGTTTTATTAACTAAAGTAAAGTAAAATGCACAAACTGAACAAAATTTGTTCTTTTTTAATAATACATAGGAACACCTGACATATATACAGTACACATGAATTTCTTTTGCAAATTGGGACAAGTCAAGTAGAATTGTAGAACTTTTTTGTGCGGAATCCTAACATAGAATTTTAATTTGCACAAGATACAGACAGCGCGAAGGAGGATAAGGTCGACACAATAAGAGTGAGTCACTAAGCTACATGCCTCCCAATATATTGCAACTTAAGAAATACGATTATTGTTTTCTTTACGAGATCCGCCTATACAGGGTTTTCGCTGTGTAGTGCTTGAAAACTTTGACGGAAAAAATAAGCCAATAACACAGCTAAAAAAATGTGTATTTTGAGACGGGAAAAAATAGCTTATTGAACACATATTGGTGGTGATTTTCTTACACATAAGAAAGGGTATTAATTGGGAATGATAATGTTTGTAAGGATTTTCCATTTGAATCAGAAATGGATTCTACCTTTATCGCCTTTAGTTAGTTTCACAGTGATCTTTTGTTCATTTTCTGATCTAATCATTATATAAAATTAAATAATATCTCACAATTCTCTAGAAGTCTGCCTCATTTTATTCTCCATTTCATTTGCTATTTGACTCAAACCGTGTTCCTTGAAGTATGATGCATGTTGTTCGCATTTCGCCTTAACGATTTTCATGTGACGATTGATATCATTTGAGGGATACTCTAAGATACATGTAACAAGTTTCTTGTAGAGCTCAACAATCAAATCGATGTCATTGTTTTCATTGTAAATTTCGGCCATTTTCATATAATTCGATGTCATTATTTCAATGAAAAAATTAATCGGATAGTTCTTATTCACCTCTGAATGGAAGTTAAGCATAAGTCTGTTCATCGCTGAGTAAACGCTGATGGCTAAGTCAAGTTCACCGTTTTTCTTATAATATGATGCAATGGAATCATATCGTGTCATAATCATTTCAAGATAATCGTTGACATACGTGATTGTGATTTTATGATATTTTAACAATAGTTCACTGAATCGTTGACACAGATAGAACGCATATGATATATATGGTATCGACATTTTTTCTAGACATATGTCAGCATAGCCTCGATAGTTGATCATGACGTCATCAATTGTAAAAGAGTGATCAAGTGTGAGATCAATTGTTGTTTTATATGTATTTGATGCACCAATTAAGTCGTTCTGTTTCTCAAAAAAAAGAGCAAGATCAGCAAAATCTCGAATGTATATTTCAGCATATTTGAATCGTTCGTCGGTTAATGTATTTTTGATGCTGTAATCCAATATGATCGTCAATAGCTGTTTGTACTGATGAATGGCACTTTTAAATTCATTTATTTTCTCATAGCGTCCTATAACAGATTTGCAGCTTCTAATAATACTAATTATATCCTGTGAATGTTTCAGCACGTGATCAATAAACTTTTGATATATAGCGAATGCCGATTTGAAATTCTTTTGTTTCTGATAGTGAATAGCCACATCGATGAAAATCGAAGCAAGCTTGGTAAAATAAACTGGGTGTGGTTTGATGACATGTTGGACAAAATTCTGATAAGTGGTAAAAGATTCATCAATCTGATGTTCTCTAAAATAGTATTGTGACAATTTCTGATAGCACTGTTCGGTATGTGCACAAATGTGCCCATTTTGTTGCAAGTATGTGACACCTCTTTCGTACCATTTACCTGCTTGATCTAACTTGTTTTGTTTCGTATACAAATAGGCGATAAAACATAAGTCTCTTTCGTTCACACAGAGCAAACCACTTTTAATTCTCTCATCGATTAACTCTTTATATGAGTCAATAATCGATGTCAGATCGCCGTCAAGAAACGCTCTATTTTGCTTGCAAATGGCTGTAATCTCATTACGTTCTTCCATCGAAATTTCATCCGTCATTCTAATTGCTCTATTCAACCATTGTTGTGTCAAGTCGAGCTTTTGATTCTCGTAGAAGAGTGCTGCTAATTTAATGTAACAGTAAATTAATCTTTGTCTTAGACATGATTCATTGCATATTTGGCTAATATCATCAAACTTCAATAAATATCCGAATGCTAAATTTGAACGTGTGAAACTTTTAAATAACTTATTTTCTACATTTTGAATTACAGCAACACTTGCCTGTGAATGATACTGAACTGGTCCGCTTATTTCACACAGTAAGTCAGTAATATCGGATGCACTCAAATTTCTTTGTCTCATTTGCTGTTCAAAGATAACCCGAACACCATTGTAACAGGCGATCATTGATTCAACATCATTTATTCCATGATCAAGAGAGGTACTCAATAGTTTTTGATAGTAACTAATTGCTCGAGAATAATCTTCATGCTGCACAAGGATATTTGCAATATTTTTATAACACTGAGTTATTACTGAATAATCATCTTTATTTGGCAAATACTTGTGGCAAAGGTCGACAACTTTTTTAAAACAGTCGATCGCTGGATTCCAATCTCTTGAAGGTAAATATTGCCCGATTGGTTTCGTGAGATATTTGTGTCCCACTGACATAAGGCCAGCAACAATTGTCGATCGGTAGAGTGAGGAATCAGCACAGCTGTGGTCCAGAAATCTTTCCCAATTTTGTAATATTTGTCGCTTATCATTTGTATTCTCGTAAAGACCTGCTTCCACTATTGTAATGTAGAGATGGCAATGATACGTTTTGTTTGTGATAATCAAGGTCGTTTTCAATATTTCCCACGCTTTTTGCGAATAACTGCTTATTAGATATAAGATCGCAATATTAATTGATGCAATATTCTTATAACCATCGTACATAGAGTATTTATCAATGGGGATGATATTGTGTCCGACAGCATGAGCTTTATTATAGTACTCAAGCGCCTCGATGTAGTTTTTTTGTCGTTTAAAAACTGCTCCCATACAACAGTAGCTCATCACCAACAGATCCGGTTTATCAGAGAGGTTGATTGTTTTCAATTGAATCTCACTTACATTGTCAAGGTGATTTTCTTTATAGTACATCCAACCGAGACCCGTATAACATGCTGCTATCATAGACGGAAGTTTTTGTTTTATTAATGTATAGTATTGTTCCGATTTACCACTCTCAAACAATAAATCACCGACTCTGATCACTTTAGCTTCAGTCGATGAGGTTGCCTTTAATATTTGATAATCTTTGGTGATGTTTATTCTTCCAGCATCTTCATTAATTAGTGTCACTTTTACATTCCAAACCTTTTTCTCTTCATCATACCATTTCTTGTCAATTTTAAAAAATGAACCGACCATAATTAAAACTTCTTCCTCAGATTTTTCAAAGTGGCTCAAGTGGGATATATAAGCAAATGGTTTGCGTTTCAATGGGGCATCATGTTCTATTTTTATCTCAATTTCAAACAGAACAAATTGAATGTCCTCATCAGTCTCGTTCAAAACGTCTCCGATAAAGTTTAGAGCAATTGTTCGATCGACAGTTGTCGATAAAAAGGAATTGGCTGATATTAGTTTTCCTTCGGTCAAATTTTTTAGCTCTATTTGAGTCATCCGTTGTCCACGATAACAGCGACAAATGTAACCGTCATCAAGGTAATCGGGTGTCAAATAATCATTGTACAAGTCTTTTAGTTGGTAAAATAAATCACGGATAAAAAATCGAATAGCAAATATCCCTCGAAGATTTTGTTGACGAAATACTTTATTTATTAAACGATAGACAAAACTCTCTTTTGTATACCATTGGACAGCTTCTTTTGGCGTATAGGTACGAGCAAATTCGTCTATATCGATAAGATATCTTTTCCATTTTCGATAGTATATTCGACATTGATTAATAAAATCCGCTTTTTCCACTTCAAGATCATAGTCTAAATCGAGTAGAAGATCGATGAGTAATGGCGACACGAATTTGGCAAAATAGGCTATATCATTTAATTCATTTGTTGTCATGTCAAGTGCAGACTGATTAAACACAGATAAGGGAATTTTAGTCTTTGTCGCATAATCTTCTGTGATCGTGGATAAATTTTCTAATATTTGCTCTATATCGTTGTACAACTTCAACTGCAACAAAATATACGGATATATTTATGACAAGCAAGCCTCAGAACAGTTTACTGTACGTGACATTACACTCATAAATCACACTATGTAAACAAATTCTTTTTACCTTTACGAAACACTGATCCCATTTTTTGTCTGTTCTTTCATGATTATTGTAAATATGTATTGAATGTAGTGATCTAACATCATGAACTTCGTTTACAATATGATATTCATTGTCATCATTATTGTTTGTGATTATCAATAATACTTTTTTGTATCGCTCACTACGAATCTCGTCTATGTACGCTTCCACATTATCAGTTTGTTTGACATCGTCGACTAGATTTTCTAACTGTGTATGAAGAATGCTATTTATAGACGATTGTTTGTCAAATATTACAATTTTGAACGATTCAGAGGTATCAACACCGTCGAAAACTGTTTCTTCGTTCGACATATCTTTTAAGGATAACGACGACATTTGACTAATTTTATGCTTTTGTTGCTAATTGTGGTACGTGCATTTTTATATATACAAATAAATTTAGAATTAATAATCTGACACATTGTTTTTTAATCTTTACTCAGTCTTACATCTACAAGTACAAATGAATAATAGTTATGGTAAGATTCTTTCTTTTTCTCTCTTTGAAAGCTATTTATGACATTACAAACTATTATTACTTCTTTACTCCACTTAACCTGTGCTTGTTGGAAAATTCCAACTTGGTGTTTCGCCTGTTGCGACATCAAAGAGTCGCAGACTTTTTATGACGGAATAATTGTCTTACTTAGTAACTATCGTTTACCACTTATCGTTTGACAGACAGTTCACTAATGAGTATCGCAACCTTAAAGTACTTTGAGCCAAATTGACAAATACAGGGATTTGTAGCGCTTGGAAATCTCTATCGAATGGCGTATTACGTTACCGTTTCCAGTAAATCGTTAATTTGCAAATAAAAGTGTAACGTAGCGGGCTGAAGTATGTATTAGCATGATTAATTATAAATCATTGTTTTAAGAAAACGTTTTTTGATCAAACCATAAGAACAGACCATTGACTATCAAACCATGCAAGAACGACATTTCTACGGTTATTTTTAAATAGCATTAATTAATTAATTTTAAACAGCATTCTTCATACACTGTTAGAAATCTAGACTTTTTGGATCAAAATAAGACATTGCACAACTGTGTATGATCTTGCGTTCAAAAATTACAAGCATTTTCCTACATGTCCTAAAACAGACCAACGAATACACAGCGTTTTCTCCCAAAACACGTTTTTTTGTCTAATCTCGTCTACTGTAGATCCCTTTTCAATAGCGGTTCATCATAAAGCATAAAGAGAAATCTTTTTTTTAAATCAAAAGAACATCAAATTCTACCAGGACTGATGGGCGCAGATTTTTTAATTAGGCTTTAGTTCCTTAAGATCCTCTCTTCTCGCGGTTCTTCTCTTTTCTGCGGTGTGGCACTGTATTTACAAGCCTTTGGTGTTTTTGTGCTTTCCGTTGTTACGAGATGTTTTCTTGGACATAAAATAAACTTTCAAGTTAGGAAAAAAGAAACTTTGGAAAACCTGAAACGATCTTTCAGGGTAATTTAGGATCTTGCGTCTCCAAAGAATCAAGAAAGACCTAATTAGAAAATCTGATCTCAACAGTCCTCCCAGTTGAGTAACTGGTCTAAAATAAAACGAACCCGAGATCTCTATCTGGAGCTGTATTAAGGAAAAGGGATTTACAGAGAAGGGTGGTTTTCGGGAAATTGACACTTCGTCTCACCTCTTCATTACGAACTCCGGTGGCAGTAGTTCGTTACGATCTCCGGGCATAAGTAAAAAGATCGGATGTTCGGGATGGATTTCTCAATTGCAAAAGTCAATAAAATATGGCCAAAACCAGGATGTTCGTAATGAGATCTGTCCAGGAGTTCGTAATGAACTCTGACAACGCATTAACGATGATTGAAGAGATAAAATTTAACTGAAGATCGGAATGAGAAAGTTCGGCAAAGACAGGACAATCGTGATGAAAACGACAGAATGTTCGTAACTATGTTGATATTTGCTCTCTTTTCAGAGATTACGAAGTAATAAGCTTATTTTACAGTCTATGGTAGAGGATGAAGAGCGTTTTGATAAATGTAACCAATCAAGATTGCTTTTATTTTTATTATTAAACAAAAAATATATATTTTCTCTTCACTTTTAAATTTAATCTTTAATAAATATTTTATAAATATTTCTCTCTTCCTTGATGTGTCTTTTTCTTTGTTTTAAAATGACTCTCATTCTTGTATATAGAAACAAAAAGAAGAATTTTTATATCCTCTACGATCTTCCCGTAAATTTTCTTACGAACTTCCCGTTAATGTCATTCGGTTCTTCCGGTCTTTTTACGTAAAAATATCGTTAAACATACATTCCGAACATTCGACATTGTTCATTACGATCTTCAGTCATTATATAACATTGCCAAGAAATATTTTATTCCGAACACCTGGTCACACCATTCCGATTTCCCTGCTTTTCTGTTACGATCTCCTGTACAATATTGTTTACGAACTCCCGTCATATATTTTCAGGGATAAAAATTCATTTTCAAACATCCCGTTACATGTCCGGAGTTCGGAATGGCCTGAGACGAAATGTCCTTCACCCTGGTTTTCGGCCCTGGACTCTAGAAAACTCCGGTACGGTAACAGATAGAGAGTAAAAACAAATATTGTGATCATACCTATGAGTGTGCAACATTTGCTGAAAATTTGCTGAAAATCGGGTGTGCGATAAAAAAGTTTTTTTCTGAGTGGGGAGCAGCCCTTAAATGCTCTCAGGAACATTAATTTTGTTTATATCTGAGAGTCAAGAGACATGAAGACCTAACAGACGTTAATAAGTATGTTTAGTTTAACTGAGAAGGAAAATAAGTTTTTTCAATGTAGAGTGAGTCATTTAGATTATTTGATGCTGTTCTTGCCAGTTAAGTAGTTATCAAAAGAAGAAGGATGACATACACTTGTTGTGCTGAATAAAAATAGTAGCCTTTTTATTATAACATTCAGTTCAAAAACCTACAAATGATTCTCTCAAATAGTAAAAGCTTTTAATTAAAAATGTTACCGTTCGTCTGATGCATCAAATGGATAAATGTCGCCTTCTTCGTCGTCATCATTCGGCGTCTGCGGTGTATTCGTCGTACCGTACTTAATATTTTTTGCCGTGATATACTGATGCCATTGTCCATCATCATGATAAAAGACCAATTCATCCTTCGTTACAGCGAACAGTTCTGGTCCAACTTTACCGATTCTTAAGTAATGTTTCGCATTTGGACAACCATCACCTGTGCGGCCACATTCACTTTTCAAATCTTCCCATGTTCGTTCGATTCCCGTTGCTCTCCGCTGCTGATGACCTTGTTTACTAATGTACGTAAAACTGCAAGTATCCATGTGTTTTTGTTTAATGACACTCACGAAGTATAAGTAAGATTATCAGAAAATATTCAGACTTGAAAAATAAGAAAAAAAATAAAATTGAAGAGAAAGAAATTTGTTGAGAACAGAGAGAAAAAACTGTTTGACCGCAGTAGTGTGTTTTTTTCTGCTTACACAAAATGTTTTTTCCTTTTATAAATTGATTTTATACATTTCATGGTTCTTCTCCCTTCAAATTTGAAGGAGCACATTTCATTGACTGATTGTCTCGTCTCTTTTTCGTTTTACTAATTAGTTTTAGAAACAGATAGTGACGAATAATTTACAGTCACTCTAAGTGAGCAATAGATACTGCCACAACACTCAGCACAGGCAATAATCTATGTTCTACTATAGGATTCAAAATATAAAATACTATGCGCTTCTTTGAATAACTCGGTAATGCAAAGCGATATTTCGAAACGGTTTTCAACAGTTTGTAGCCAAGTCCGAGGAACATCGAACTATACGTAGAACAAAAATTTGAATCGGGTTTCTAGAGGGTTTTCAGGTGGATCTTTAGAAAACTATAATGATTTTCAAAGATCCAATATTGAATTTTCATTTTTAACATATGTATTCGATAGAGAAAATTGTTTATGCACTATCGGAACGCAGTTGAAAAATGAATAATTCTTTACCCAATGATTCACGTGCTATTATAGAACCCCCAAAGACAAACTTCAATGTAAAGAGGACACCTGACTACATATATCCTTAAGTTCTTTCGATGAACTGATAAGTATTTCCAGACTTATTAATTAATTAAGTTTAAATTTTAATTAGAATTTGGGTAGCTAGTTCGCATTTGCAAAGCTTGTAGCTCGGGTAAAAATAACCGTAGAAAGGTCGTTCTTGCATGGTTTGATAGTCAATGGTCTGTTCTTATGGTTTGATTAAAACAAGTTTTCGTAAAACAATGATTTATAATTAATCATGCTAACGATAAGCAATTTTTTGTACTCGGTTTTAGGCAAATGGGGTTTCTGCTATGGATTTCTCAACAGAGTGATCATGGATGTTTTTTGACTAACTCGAGAACGAAAAGAGATAGAAAGTTCGAGTTTTCAGCATTTTGTAGAAAAGGCTTTACTCCACCTGACATATATTTGGTGCTAAAAATCTTGGCTTTTTAGGCGGTGTACCTGACGGAATAAAAGCGATAAGGTTACCGGGTTCTGAATCCGCGATGGACTTTTAAATTCAACATGGCGACTAGATAGCCCAAAGTGTTCTCTACAATTCTGCGCAAAAGCCGATCTCTCTATCTGTTGCGCTTCTCGAATAGCAGGCTTTTTCCTGAGTCACCCGAAATTCGTTACCATTTGGTTAGGTAAAATGCCTTCCACTCGAGAACTACAATAGATAGAGAAGCCGGTCTCTCGCAGAATTGTAGAGGACACTTTGGGCTAGCTAGTCATCATGTTACAATCCGTCAAATTCAAACACAATCGTCCTCTTCAAACTGTTTTTCTGACCTGTTTTTCAAAGTTAATGGAAAAATTTTTAAAAAAATTAAATTTAAAATTTTTTGAGTTTTAAATTTTAAAAGAATTTAAATTCAAAACATATCGCATAAAATTTTGAAAATCAGAACCGTAGACTGGTCTGATCACAGTTTCCGAAATCCAAGAAAATTTTGCAAGTTTTCATTGGAGTTGGCTTGTTCATATTAACAGTTGATGGCAAGATAAAATATGGCGACTTTCCTTATCTTGGTAAGATCTTAGTACTCGGATAGTCCCAGTCAGATGGCTGGAAAAATACTGTCTGTCCAAGTGTTCTTATGAGTTGCAGGAGCAAAGAAAGCTCACATGAGACAGTTAGATTTTAAAAATTGTCTGAAATATGAAGGAGCGAAAGTACTTTTGAAATTAAAGTCGGGAAGAAGAAAAAGTAGTCAATTATCTTTAATATTCTGAAGTAGAAAATCAAATAAATTTTTGACGCTGAAATGAATTAACGACGATAAGTATTACAGCGCAAAAATCTGCAAGAAGAAATAAGTATTTTCAAAAGAATAGCTAAAATTTTATTGGAAATAGAGGATAACGTGATGATCAAAACCATACCTTACATAGTGAGTATGAAAGAGATATATCGTCGGTACAACATTGAGGTCGGTCGCTAGCGACAGTTATTTTAAACTCTTTATTTTATCGGATGCAAGACATCCATTTTTGGTGCAATTGGCAATATAAAAAGAACAAAGAAATAATAACAAAATAAAGAAATATAATTTTTCATTTTTCATAATTTTCAAAGGATAGGGCCACACAGTGGGCATCCAGGCGGAAATTTGGTCAAAAAGGCGAAATTTACTTTTCTTGATTTGAAAATCGTCGTATATGCTTCAGCCAGTATCTAATGGCAAAAAGATTTTTTGTCTGAAGCCATTTCTTCGTGGGTAAAAGTTAGATGAAAAATTCTCTCTATAATTTGCTAACTATTTCAAAAAAAGTCAACTTTCTCAGCCTAGATTTAGTTTCAATCTCAATCTAAGGGCATATTCGGAATCAGCAGAATTGCTGCTATAAAAAAAATTTTCATTTGTAAAGCGCTTTTAAAATGTTTAAGAGCAAGAGTATAATTGTTTTTCGAATAGAAAACAGTATAAGTATTAGACAGATTATCCGCCATATCAGTATGACCATTAGGAAATGCCTTCTCATGTATTTCAAAAGCTCGCATATAATAATCCAGTGCTTCATCGTATTTTCCTTGGTCACTAAGAACAAGCCCAATATGAGTCAAACACGAAGCACTATGATCATGACCAGCTGGAAGACATTGTTCATTTATTTTCAAGGCTTGTTTTTGATAATCTAATGCAATATCAGATTCATCTTTATCCTTATAAACATCGTCAATCAGTAGATAGTGTGCTATGTTCTTATGTTCAGCTGGAAACCGTTGTTTTCTTAAGTCAAGACATTCCTTATAATACTGTAATGAACAATTCTATTCACCTTTTTTCCGATAAATGAAGCCTATATTTTCCAATGAAGCGGGTGCACCACGATCGTCATGGCATGCTTGTCTAGTCTTTAGAGCATTCTTGTGGCACTCCAAAGCCTTATCATATTAGCCTCTGTTACTAAAAATCACAGTCATATCATTCAACACACAAGCTGAAAGCGCTGGACGTGAAGGTGTGGCGTTTATCAGCATATCAAATGACTGTTGATAGTTTTTGGTGAATAAAGAGAAAAAAATGGAAAACGAAATAACCTTCTGTTTCACAAGAAATTGAAAATTTTGTTCGGAAGGCGGACATGCAAAGTAATCTTATTTTCCAAAAATCAAATATCTATCCAGGATTCAGTAAATTAAAACACAAAAATAAACCACACTCATCAAAAAAGAATCTAAAAGATTACCGGACTCGAAATGGACTTGGACTCGATCCTTAATATTAAGGACTTAGACTCTGACTTGGCTTGAATTTTTAAGATTTCGGACTCGCCCATGCCTGGTAGTACACAGTGGGCAACTAAGCGGACATTAGGCCAAAAAGTCGATTTTATCTATCTTGAAATACAAATAGTGCAAAATGTAGCTCTTGAAATTCTCTATCGAATGGTGTATAAACGTCTATTGTGAA